TGCATGCTTTTGTTTTGTCAACCATCCGCAACAGCAGCAGCAGCAGCTGCTGCTGCTACTGCTGTGCACTATTCTGCTACAGCAGCAGCAGCAGCAGCAGGAGCCGCTGCAGCTGCAGCAGGCACGTGGTGTACGTACACCTCATTTTGGGGTGACAGTATGCCGGCGTCTCTGTAGCGACTTACCGCACTTCCCTTTAGAAAGCCGCAAGATCCTGAGCAGCAGCAGCAGCAGCAGCAGCAGCAGCAGCAGCAGCAAGAGCTGTAGGAACAGTAGGAGCAACAGCAACAGAACAGCAACAGGGCCATCACCAGCATCAGCAGCAGCACCAGGAGGAACAGCAGCAGCAGCAGAACAGCATCATAGGAGCGTGTGGCAGCAACAGCAGCAGCAGCAGCAGCAGCAGCAGGCCTACCGCAGCAGGGGAGCGAGACGGCAAGGAAGTGTGTTGCTGTTTTATATTGCTGCTGCAGCTTGTCGAAGAATTGCTGCAGCGGAGCATGCGAATGAACCCCCAGCAGCACAACAAGATCAGGCCCCACCTTCTGCTGCTGCAGCAGCAGCAGTGGTGTTAGGCAGCCCTTGCTGCTGCTGCTGCTGCATGCGAGGGTCGACTGAGATGCACCGCCAGGAGGGGGGTGTGCGGAGGCAGACTGCTGCTGCAGTCCTCTGCAGCAGCAAGCAACGTAAACATCAAACCTGTCGCTGTTGCCTTTGCTGTTGCTGCTGCTGCTGCTGCTGGTGCATTATTTCCTGCTGCTGCAGCAGAAGCAGCAGCAAATGCTGCTGCCTTTTTTTTGTGCGAGTTTTAGCTGCGCCCGAAGACGACTGCTCGTGGTGCAGCAGCACTACCAGCAGCAGTTCGAGCAGCATAAACAGCAGCAGCAACAGCAGCAGCAACAGCAGCAGCAGCAGCAGCAGCAGCAACAGAAAGGTAATTTTGTTTTACTGGGTGCGAGCCGTCCCCAGGCACGAAGACAAACGCAGAAATATCGAGGGAAGAAAAACGCAGCAGCTGCCGCGTTGCACTCATCCTGCACAAAAACTCAAACCTGCTGCTGCTGCTGCTGCTGCTGCTGCTGCTGCTGCTGGCCTTGCTGCTGTTGATGCTGCTGTGCTGCTTCTGCTGCTGTGAGTCAGTGAGAGAAGTCTACACCCGTACATATAGACAAACTAACAACGCAGCAGCGAGCCGCTGCTGCTGCTGTTGCTGCTGCTACTACTGCTGCTGCTTTCGACTTGCTGAAGCATGCAGCCCTGCCTGCGGCAGCAGTTTGCTGCTGCTGTTTTGCGGTGTACGTAGGAGATAGATACACACCAGAAAAAACAAAACAAACAGACACAGCTACGCCCCTCAAAACAAAGCCACAACAATAGCAGCAGCGGCAGCAGCAGCAGCAGTAGCAGCAGCTGCTGCTGCTGCTGCAGTAAGATGCCTTACATGGCAGCAGTAACACCTAAGGCCTCCGTCAATTCCTTTGCTGCTACAAAACCCCGTCCTCGTGCTGCCTGCAGAATAAGCAGCAGCAGCAGCAACAACGGTAGCAGCAATCGCAGAAGCAGCAGCAGCAGCAACAGCACCGACAGCAGCAGCAACAGCAACCGCAGCGATATCATAATGAGGAGCAGCTGCAGTGACTGCGGGGAACACAGTAGACAGCACACCCGCAGCAGCAGCAACACCACCAGCCACACCAGCAGCAGCAGCAGCAACACCACCAGCCACACCAGCAGCAGCAGCAGCAACACCAGCAGCAACACCAGCAGCAGCAGCAGCAACACCAGCAGCAGCAACGGGAGCCGCGAGGCGCACACTGCAAAATTGTGGAGACAGGCAGCAGCAACAACAAGCAGCAGCAACAACAAGCAGCAGCAGCACCAGCCGCAGCACAAGCACAAGAAGCAGCAGCAGCACAAGGAACAGCAGCAGCGCAAGCAGCAGCAGCAGCAGCAACAACAGCAGCAGCAGCAGCAGCTCACGATTTGCATGAATGGGATTTTCTTTTGCTGTCCGTGCAGCAGCGAAATAAAAGATGAAATGTGCCGCAGCAGCAAAGGGGTGTCGATGCTGCTGGTTGCTGCTGCAGCGGTTGCTGCTGCAGCTGTTGCTTCTCCTGCTACTGTTGTTGCTGCCCGCGGCTCTGTTGCTGTTGCTGATGCTCCTGTGCTGCTGTCGCGGAAGATGAAGGCATCAGCAGCTGCAGCAGTAGCTGCAGCAGCATCAAATGGAGAGGCTTCTCTGCAGCAGCTGCACCTGCACGTACTACTAGTGCTGCTGCTGTTGCTGTTGCTGCTGCTGCTGCTGCTGCTGAGGAAGTGCTGCGGTAAGGGAGGCGAGACCCTCGCGAGGTGTACAGATAACTGCTTCTCTCTTCTGCAGCCGCTGGCTGCTTTATCAAGAAACAGGATTGCTGCTGCTGCTGCTGCTGCTGCACAGGGCATCCTAGCTTCTGCAGCAGGACCAGCAGCAGCAGCAGCAGCAGCAGCAGCAGGGTGTGCGTACACTACAAAGCAGTAGCCATGCTTTCTCTCAAAGGAGGAGACAAAGCCGAAGCAGCTGAAGAGACATCTCAACGCGGAGTTGCTGCTGCTGCGGCTTAGGCCTCGAACTGCAGCAACACAGCACCAGCAGCAGCAGCAGCAGCAGCAGTGATAGACAGGGCTGGATAGACAATGCAATGTGCATCAGAAGCAACAAACTGCAACACAGCAGCAGCAGCAGCAACAGCAGCAGCAGAAACCCACTATAGAGCGTGTAGCTTGCATGCTGCTGTTGCTCCTGCTGCTGCTGCTCTCGCTGATGCTGCTCTTCCTCCTGCTCCTCCGCCTGATGCTGCTGCTCCTGCTCTTGCTGCTGCTGCTGCTCTTGCTGCTGGTCTTGCTGGTGTTGCTGCTGCTGCCGTGTTTCTGGTTGCCCCTTGGCTCGACTGTAGCGTTCTCCCTTATCTCGCAATGATGCAGCTCGCTGCTGCTGCAGTTTCTGTTGTTGCTGCTGCTGCTGCACTTGCTGCTGCTGCTGCTGCTGCTGCTGCTGCTGCTGCTGTCGGACTAGCCAATCGAGCCGCTGCAGCAGCAGCGGCAGTAGCAAATCAAGAGCGGGCTCTTCATGCTTAGAACAACCCGCCTCACGTTGCTGCTGCAAAACCTCTGCAGCTTCTTCAACTGCAGCAGCAGCAGCAGCAGCTGCTGCTGCTGCTGCTGCAGTTGCTGCTTCACTGGTGTCTTGAGAGGCGTCTTCTGTTGACTTGCCGGTTTCTTCTGCTTTTTTTGCTGCTGTTGCTGCTGCTGCTGCGATTTCAGCTGCTGCTGAAGAGAGGACTGCAGCAGCAGAGGCAACAGCAGCAGCAACATCAGCAGCAGCTTTTGCTGCTGCTGCTCGCGTTGCTGCTGCAGGGGTCGCCACTGCTGCAGCAGCTGCTGCTGTTGCAGCAACTGAGGCTGAAGATGCACGACGGCCAGAGGGACCTCCTAACATTGCATTATATATGGTGATTGCTGCTGCTGCTGCTACTGCTGCTTCTGCTGCTGCTGCTGTCGTTGTTGCTGCTGTTGCTGTTTTTAGTGCTGCAGTCTTTTGCCCCACTCCCCCTGTGCTGGTGTTTGTTCTGTGGCACTTGCAACTGCTGCTGCTGCTGCAGCAGCTGCAGCAGCTGCAGCAGCTGCAGCAGCAGCGCTGCGTGTGGAATGTGCTGTTGTTGTTGTTGTTGTTGTTGCCGTTGCTGCTGCTGCTGCTGCTGCTCGTCTGCTACAGCCTTCGATTGCCGCTACAATTTATTACATTTCCTTGCATTCTAAATTAAATATTATTCTAAACAACAATAATCTCAACCCTAACCAGACCCTAATAGGGCCCCCGGGGGCCCCCAACATTCTAGGGGGCCCCTGAGGGGCCCCCTGGGGGCCCCCTAGGGGCCCCCAACTTACCCAGGGGGGGGCCCCTAAGGGGCCCCCCAGGGCCCCCAAGGCCCCCTTTGGGGGGCCCCTAAGGGTTGCCTTAAGGGATCCTAAAGTCCCTAGGGGGCCTCTGAGTACCCTTTTTGGGGGCCCCCAAAGGGGGGCCCTTAGAGACAGGGGGCCCCTGGGGGGGCCCCCAGGGGCCCCCATGGGACCCTCGGAGGGCCCCTCGGGGGCCCCCCTGGGGGGCCCCTTGTTGTCTTCTGTTTGGTTTAGGGTTTGACTTGGATATAAAATGAAAATTTTAATTTATATTTTGCTAGTGGCTGCTGAGAGCCACGGAAAAGTCTTAGAGTAGAGCCCCGTGCAGCAGCAACGAGCAGCAGCAGTTCTATATACAAGCCTGAGTATCTGCATGCGGAGCCTCGAGCACCAACAGCAGAAACACCCGCAGCAATAGCAATCACCCCGGCAACAGATGCAGCAGCAGCAGCAGCAACAGCAACTACAGCAGCAGGTGCAATAGCATCTGCAGCAACACCATAAACAACCACAGCAGCAGCAACAGCAGCAGCAACAGCAGCGGTAACAGCAGCAGCAGCAGCAGCAGCAGCAGCAGCAGCATCATGGAGTCTCGAGGAGAGAGAAATGAGCGCTGCGTTGCACCGCTCAGGGTCAGCCGCAAAGGCGTTCATGAAGATCCAAGACAGCAGCAGCAGCAGCAGACGCAGCAGACGCAGCAGCAGCAGCAGCAAACACCACTGCCGCAGCTGGACCAGCAAACGCCGCCGCCGCAGCAGCAGCAGCAACAACAACAGCAGCAGCAGAAACCGCATAAGGGGCAACAACAACGAACGCTGCAAGAGCAGCAGAAGCAACAGCAGCAGCAGCAGCAGCGAGAACAGCAGCAGAGGCAGCCAGCCGGGCAAAAACGTCAGGGCGAGCAAAATCGGAATAACCAGCAGCAGCAGCAGCAGCAGCAACAGGTTCAGCAGCAGAGGCAACAGCAGCAGCTGTATCAACGCCATAGGCGCCAGCCGCAGCAGCAGCAGCAGCATCAGCAGCAACAAGAACCGCAGAAGCAGGGGCAGCAACACCTGCGGCAGCGACAGCCACAACTGCACCAGAAACAGCAATGGCAGCAGCAGCAGCAACACAAGCAGCTGCAGCAGCAACACAAGCAGCAGCAGCAACACAAGCAGCAGCAGCAACAGCACGGCCCAGAGCAGCAGCAGCAAACGCAGCAGCTGCGGGAGCAGGAGCAGCAGGAAGAGGGACAGGAACAGCAGGAAGAGGAGCAGCAGCAGCAGCAGCAGCAGCAGCAGCAACAGCAACAACAGCAGCAGCAGCAGCTTACCTTTGACGATGAGTTTCCTTCTCTCTCTGTTGCTGCGACCCTTCGAGGGGCCCCACACTTCCAGCCAAAGAGCAGCAACAGCAGCAGCAGCAGCAGCAGCGCTGACGTTCTTGTGAGTGAAACAGCTGCCTGCCCTAGTAGCAGCAGCAGCAGCAGCAACAGCAAGTACCGAGGCCGCCCGACTGTTGCTGTGGCGTTGGCCCTGTGCGTCAAGCAGCAGCAGCAGCAGCAGGAGCAGCAGCAGCGGAAGAAACAGAGTCCGCAGCAGCAGCGGCAGCAGCAGCAGCAGCAGCAGCAGCAGCAGCAGCGGCATCGCTGCGTTGCTGCGACTGTGCCAGAGGTGAGTGCTGCTGCTGCTGCTGCTGCAGGTATGTCTCTAAAGGGTTTGCGGTTTAAAGGTAAATCACTTGTTAAAAAGAGAGAGGGAAGAAGCATGCGGAAGCTGCTGCAGCAAGAAAGAGAACAGAGAGAAATCCTGCTGCAGCAGATGCAACAGCAGCAGCTGCTGCATCAACACCTACAGCCGCAGCAGCAGCAGCAGCAGCAGCAGGAACAGCAGCAAAATGCAACAAGCCAACCCCAAAGAGACGAAGAGGGTTGCAACGGCGAGACAGAAGTTTCTGCAGCAGCAACAGCAGCAGCAACAGCAGCAGCAGCAACAGCAGCAGCAGCAACAGCAGCAGCAGCAACAGCAGCAGCAGCAGCAAGCAGCACTCCCGACTTGAATGGAGTTGCTGCTGGCGGTCCCTCGACGGAAGCTGTTTCTGCTGCAGGAGCAGCAACGGCAGCAGAAGCAACGACAACAGCAGACAAAGCAACAGCAGCAGCAGCAGAAGATGAAACAACAGCAGCAGATGATGCTGCTGCTGCAGGACTAAACAGCAGCAGCAGCAACGCTATTAGGGAGCGCCTTCTCGACAATATGGAGCCCCTACGCTGGGCGTTGGCTGTTCGAGCAAAGCAGCTGCATGTACACCCCGAACTAGGCAAGGTATGCAGCAGCAGCAACAGCAACAGCAGCAGCAGCAGAAGCAGATGCGGGCTGCAGCAGCGGCTGCTACGTCCTGTTGCTGCTGTCGCAGCGACAGTTGCTGCTGCTGCAGCACCACTGTGGATGCCGTTGTGCCACTCACTTTGCTGCTGCTGCTGATCTTGCTGCTGTATGACACGGTTGTTGCTGCTGCTGCCGTTGCTGTTGTTGCTGCTGCTGTTCGCTGCTGCTGCAGCAGCTGAGTGTATGCATTTTGTTGGGGTGTATATGCAGATGACGTCACCTGAGATCGATGCTGCAGCATCAACGCTGCTAAAGACACTGCGGGGCTTTCATGTACGTGCTGCTGCTGCTGCTGCTGCTGCTGCTGCTGCTGCTGCCTCTACTACTGCTGCTGCTGCTCGTGCGGCTGCCTCTGCTGCTGCTTCTGCTCTTGCGGCTACCTGCCGTGCTGCTGCTGCTGCTGCTGCTCTTGCGGCTGCCTCTGCTGCTGCTGCTGCTGTTTTGTGTTGCTCCAGCTGCGCCTTCTGGGCGCTTCCGTACACCTGATTTGCTGCTGCTGCAGCTGTTGCTGCTGCTGTTATATGTTCCCTGCTGTGGCTCCCCAGCCTTCTGCTGCTGCAGTGCCTCGTTCTTGCTTGTGCTGCTTGTGCTGCTGCTCTTGCTGCTGCTGCTGCTGCTGCAGCTGCGGCTGCAGCAACGCGCGCCGCTGCGTGCTGCATCTCGCCGTCGTTTTGTCTGTGGAATGAGGGAGACACTTAAATTGCTGCAGCAGCAGGTTAGGGTTTAGGGTTTAGGGTTTAGGGTTTAGGGTTTAGGGTTTGTTGCTGCTGCTCTTAGCGTTACACTCCCGTGCATGTGCTGCTGCTGCTCCTCAGCAGCAAATTGGGTTTGACGTGTGTGCTGCTGCAGATACAGCGGAGGCAGCAGCAGAGGCTGCAGCAGCAGCAAGACAAAATCATTGCTAGAGAAGCTGCTGCAGCAGCGCTCCTGCAGCAGCAGCAAGCCAGGCAGCAGCAGCTGCAGCACGACTCTCCTCCTCCCGCTCGCCAGCGGAAGAAACAGCAGCAGAGTAGCGTTGAGCCTGTCTGCAGCAGCAGCAGTAGCAGAACCAGCAGCAGCAGCGGCAGCAGCAGCGAAGATGAGCTTCTTGATGTTCAGGTGTCTACATATAGAAAACCTCTTTTGCTGCTGGTAGCAGCAAACCTGGAGCCAACAGTAACCCCAGGTGTGCTGCTCCTCCCAACTCGCTGCTGCT